GCCATGAATGCTGGGAGAATAATGTCCTCATTATACATCTTTTTGATTTTGCCGACCAAACACGACTCTCTCCACCGCAACTCATACTTAGGGACCATAATATTTGAATTTTGTGCAAGCTTATCCCGGTTTAAGCTAAGAGAGCTATCATCCGAAATGTTAACATGAATAACAGCACCCGAAGCAACTATCCCAGAATGCTGAAACGCTTTTGCCTGATCTTGAGGCAGACCAGCATCCTTCCTGCCTCCTAAAGTATCCTTATAGGACCTGGAATCTCTCAACGCCGACTTCCACACCCTCTTCACCTCTTTCCCAGACTCATATCTGTTGCTTATTTGTTCCGAGGATTTCTCATGGACCATTTTAATTCTATAACCGTCCATTAACCTCCCATCTGCCCTCCGAACCGCTGCACTAGCTTCATTCTTCCTTCTATACCTGACGAAAGCAAATGTGGATCCAGCATATAGTCTTCTTCTGCTTCTGTAAGCAATAAAAACATCCACCACTACACCATACTCCATGAAAGCTTCCTTTAGAGTAGCCGGATGAATCCTCTTGCTAACAAAATTAACAAAAACAGTATGAGTCAGTAACGATTGATCGGCTCTCATCTTTGGTTTCATGGTTCCAAAAAAGCGACTATATGATTAGGTTAATTTTAGAGTCCCAATAATTATACTTTAGGGTCTCAATAAAATCACAGCGAGGGCGAAGACGAAGATAGATAAGATTTTTATCGTTTCAATCTTTCTATCAAATGTCATGTTTTAATAAAATTAAAATCCGAAACAAAAATATAAAGCCTAACACAATTATGTGTATAACATTAATTTTGATCCCTTGTTCTATAGCACCAAAGTTTCACTTTGCTCAACTTTCCATCAAAAGTTGGCTTGTGATCGCTGCATTGTCGAAACAAAGGCAAAAACAAAACGTTTTGATAGAAAATAACTATAACGAATAAATATGTCTCAATGGATTAATTCCATTAGTTCCAAACAATTTGATAAATTCTTAAAACAATTTAATATGCATATTCATATATATACCTTTGTAGTGCTTCCGCATTGGAGCCACCATTTTCGACTGGTTCGTAATGGTTGGAGCCTACATTGATACGTGAAACAGTTTTGTCTACAAGGTTGTTAATGTTTTTCTCTGTTGATACATCCACATACGTCCTTTGTCCGTTTAGTGTATCATCATCGATCCGGAGATTATCTTCGGAATGGAGGGCTTGAAAAAAACAATATTGTCATGGCCATAGCCTTGCTAAAAATTCAGTATCGGACCTTCGTTATCTTCAAATAACTTACTTTTCCAAAACCGATTCCAATGCTCGTATACAACAATTCAAAATGAACTGTAAATTTCACCCTCCATTGTTCGTACGATTAAAAACAATCGATTCAACAACATACCTTGCACATATGTTTCCTCTTTACTAATGGAAGGCTTCCTTTGTAAAATGACGAAGTAGCTTACTGCTTTCAAATTGAATCTAAGGATTATGTTATACTGCAAAAGTTGCATCTGCTTTAGCATTAACGATGCCTTCTTTCTCTTGTATTAATTTGTTCGTATATCTCGAATTAAAAAACAAGACAATTCTGTCTTAAGATTGTTAGACAAAATGGTTAATCCGATACATAAAATAATAATAACAAAGAAATATTATTATGTAAATCGAACAAAGCAAAATAAATAAAGAATTAAAGTAGAGAAATGAAACAGTTTACTCATATTTTGACATGAAATCAATGATGAGCGGAGTCAGATAAATAGAAGATGAAGTTTTTGTTGAGGCATGTATGAACAGTTTCCTTAAGACATATTTGTCATCTCTTTGGTGCTTTGAGTAACGTTGGACGTCGTCTCCCAGGATACAACAACAAACGATCACAACAGTAAGCACAACCGAAGTGATCAATCGAACACAATCTTACATTTCTCTATCACCAGAAAGAACAAATTTAGAAGGAATTTTCTAAGTATTTTCCTATTCCAACATTTTTAACCTTTCATGATGTAACTTGTGTCTCTAATTTGTGCCTTAACTAGCCTATTTATAAAGGAGATTAAATTAATCAAAAGGTTATTACCTTTTGACGAGGAGTTAATACTATTTGATGAAAGAATTAGTTGAAAAGCCAATATGTATAATTGAATGAATGCAACTTTAAATCAGGTGACATAACTTATTATTAATAAGACTTTTCACCAAGTGACACCATTTATCATAAAAAAACATCAATTTTATTCAATTAATTCATAATTTTCCAACAATATATTCATCTTAAAATTCAAAATTTGTATATTAATTGTTTATCTTTTTAATAATATTTATTCTTAAATTTTATTTATATTAATTTCATATAAAAGTTTTATACTATAAATACATACATATTCATCCTTGCAAATATTTATAGATACCAATGTTTAAATACATGTGTTTGGTTTAAAAAATATTGCTCTGGCATTACATAGCTTGGACATTACGACCCTCTAATATTACATGCTTTGAGTCCTCCACATTGCATGCCTCTAGTGCTACACATGCATTTGTGAGTTTAAGTATAATATTGATAAAATAAATAAATATTGAGCTATCGTAGTTATAAATATATTTTGTTTTTGATTTTATCTTAATTATTATTCTTAAATTTGAAATTATATTAAATCAAACTTAGATGGATTCAGAAGGTGCTTATGGTTATTTTTAAGCTTTTATATTGTGATTAGTTAACGGTTTTGAGATATCGAAAGTTCAAATTGAAATCCCTTTCAGGTTTATTTCAAATTATGTGATTTTGAATTGATTAAATATGTTTTATTATATTTTTATAAATTTTACTAATGTATCCCTTAAATACTAATGTGAAATGTAAATATTTTAAGAAAATAAAAAGATGTGAATTAAAGACAACTCTCAATTGTGCACAATCAGGATTCAAAATAAACACATAAAATCAGATTGGTTACAGCTGGTGGAAGAAGGTCAAAAAGGATATTCTAAATATTTTTCAATAGTTTATGAAGATCGCTTTCCACTTTATGAATATCAACGTGCAAAATGATATTATTATTTTTCCATGGGATTATTTAGTGTAAATACACGTTTAATATCTAAATTATAAGTTTTAGTTTGTTTTAATACCTAAATTTTTTAATTTTTTTAAATCTATATTTAAAGTTTAATTTTTATTTCATTTTACTACACTGCCATTAAAAAACCTTAACAAACTGGCTCGTTGACCACCGCGTCTACAATCATTGACCGTCGCATCCATCGGCTGATGAAGCCCAAACTTTCCAGCCTGCACCTTTTCGATCCCCGAAAATGATTTTGGCCTATGTTTCACTGAAAAATACCCCAATCTCACCCATAGAATCTTCGATTTCTTCATCCTTTGATCTCCTTCATCAAATGTCCGATAGACTTAAAATTGGACTATGTTGGTCGACTCATCATATTCTCTCATGGTCCATCGTTCAGCTTGATCGTCCATCCACTGAAGCTATATCTCGTCAGTCCGTCTATTATGTTTTTAACGATAAGGTACTAAAATGAAACAAAAACTAAACATTATATATGATTTTAAAAATATTAAAAATTTATGTATTAAAACGAATCAAAATAAATAGTTTATATATTCAATGCATAATTTATTATTTATAGTGTCGGCAAACTCATTTTGAATGATATATCGCAGTGTACGTAACGCTTGACCGATGCCATCTCCCATTTAAAAAGGCCATTTATACTATAGTTTAATAAATTATTATTTGATGGAGTTATCAGTTTGAAAGGTACCTATTCATCTGAAATATGCAAAGGGAAATAAATATAAACTGATTTATACTGTAGTCTAATAAATTATTTGATGGACTTCAGGATCCCAAGCTTCTGAATTTGTCGAAAGATTAGGGCTTGAACTGCTTTTTCAGTACCTGTATGTTGCACCAATTCCTCTTAAAAACTGATATATTCTGCAATGTCTATATGCATCAGAATATGCGTTTTATTTTGTAGTTTACATCTGCAACTTTATAAGGCATTATTTCCTTAAAGATTGGGTTGATGGACAATAAATAAGGATTGGACCGACATTATCTAATTTGGTCTGATTTATGGAAAGTAACCCTACTATAGTTGCAATGGGTGATGCAGCCATTGCCTACTTATGATGCGTACTAAATCTTTGGACCATGGATGTGTATATAAAACCAGTGAGCAATTCAACACGGATATAGTTCAATCTCAGATAAATGAGGGATGAAGTTCATGAACAATAAGTACTATATAAAATGGAAAATCATGAACAAGAATCAAACTTCATTTACCACCAACTTCTCAGATTTACAGTACTAAAACACTGAAACAAACCCTCATCAATAATTCCAGAAATTTCTTGGAATATTATAGAAACCAATCATCCATCAGAATATAGAAAAAAAAGAGGGGGAAACTGTCATTGGCATCAAAGAAATCAACTTTATCTGTATCCTATCAGTCAACGCGTTTAAACCGGAAAAATGTATTATGTTTAGTTCTCATCGTAGCGCCTCGATCATTATTACCACGGGAAGCCCCCTTATCATTCCTGGTTCGTGTTCCGATTGTCACAATCTCTGGTGAACCAATCCCGGTTGGCGCAAACTCTCCAGTGGGTTGGCCAGCAAAACATAGGTTTGATGAGAAAACTTGGGAGGCTCAGCAATAGCAGTGTCACCAATGGAGACGGTGGTGGAATCTTAGACTCCTTGCAGTAGCCAATTGTGTAAACATCTACTTCGACACTTTTTTCTTTATATATATATATATAATATGTCGTCTACCTATAATTATCCAACTATATATAAAACATTTGTAGGATTGTGCAGGGGATAGTGGTGACAGGCGTGACATATTACCTACAAGCGTGAATTATCGAGGCGAAGGGCCGGTGTTCTTGTCCAAGTCCACACCATTGAATCTCATCTTCACACTCTTAGTTCTGCAGTTCTCTTATGCCAGTTCATAACTACAGGAAGGTCAGATTTTCTCTCTTTACTCATTATTAGAATCCATCTCAATTGTTAACGTGAATTAACTAATGTTTGTGAAATTTGTGCAGTCTGTTATGTGGGTTTTTACTGATCGTAGGGCTATATAGTGTGTTGTGGGGGAAAACCAAAGAGCAAAGAATGATGGATGATGAAAATTGTTTACAAGCACATCATGTAGACAAAGGCTGCACAGAGTTGAAAGTGGTTGATGATGCCTCATGAATTGCTCAAGGCAACCATTTGGATCTTCTTAATGAAAATCATTTGGAGAATTGATATAGATTCTGAACTGATAATCAGGGATTCAAATAGCGGAATGAAAACGCTTCAGCGCCCGTTATTTTCCGGTAACGCCGCCATCCGAAATCGATATTAACGAATTTTGGGTAGGTAGCGGATTCACGTCGATAGCGGTCTATCGCACCAGCAACTTAAAAAAAAATTGAAAAAAATTAAGAAAACCCAAATTCACACCCAGAAAATCAAGAGAGAAAACATATCAATTACCAAGCATTTAAAATCAAGACTTACCAAAGAGACATACATCAAGACGGGAAGGAGACAAGCCAGCAAGACAAAACTATTTTAGAGGGAAATCCTGTACCCGTTGAGCTTTGCCGCCGGTGAAGAAGAGGAGTAATAGAACTGCCTCCATCAAAGTTAAAAAAGTTAAAAGCCTTAAAGATTTGAGACTTGGGAGTTGAGAGAATTAAGATGAGATTTAGAACTCCAGCGCAGCTTCAGTGTGGTGCATATCTCCACTTTGGAGATGGTATCAGTGGTCCAACCCATCGTCAATCTGCAGTTATGTTCTGGCGATCTGCTATAGAACACGCTAATTGTGGTGTTGCACTGTAACATTTATTTATTTATTTTGTAATTTTTTTGTAAATTCAAGTAGATTAAATTGTAAGATAGATAAAAATACATTAAAATTAGATAAATAAACATATTAATTTTTTGAAATATAAAAACTATAACAAACATAAAAACATAGAAAATACTAATAAAACTTAAACAACATTTTAACCAACAACCCAAACACAACAATTTAACTAATAATCAGACAGACCCCCTTCACTCCCTCCAAGATCATCAAAGTTTATTCCAAACACATTAAAAGTTAAATATTATAAAATATTTATTTATTTATATTTTTTATCTTGATATTTATTAGAAATGTATATGTTTTATTTTATATTTACAAAATTAATATTATAATAATTAAATATTATGAATAAAGTAGAGTTAGTGGTAATGTAGAGATAACACTAAAGATGAATTACTGTTTCATCTTTAGAATAGAGATAAAGATACTGTAAAGTAGAGATGAAGGCTGGAAATAACCTCATAAAGAAGAAAAACTTATTAAATTTTCCTCAACTCCAAAACCTTAAAAGTTATTTTGTCTGTTCACTCACTCCTCCTATTTTCATTTTTATTTTTTTTAAATAAATTTTAAAATACACTTTTAAATGGTATGGTTTATTTGTCATCCCTCCCTCTCATCTTTTAAAACTTATAATTGAATCCCATCTTTTAAAATTTATAATTCAATCTTTAGTTTAAAATGTAAACTTTAGTTTTTATTTAATTTAGTTCTAATTTCAGTAATCTAAATTTCTGCAATTTAAATTTTATACTTTTATTTTAATTCTATTTAATTTAGTAATCTTATCTTCTCACTGAGTTTTTAAAGTATTCTATTTGATTAAACTATATTATATATATGTCATTTTCGCTTATAAAATATTCTAAAAATCATTAAAAATGAGTCTTTATAATTATAATTATCATGTTTTAGGATAAGTTGTGCAAAATTTAAAAAACATCACGACCGCGACACCAACAGTAACCACAATAACATCCGTTATGCCTGCAACCGCGAACGCTATTTAAATCCCTGCTAATAATGTTGTTTCATTAGAGATTATCTAATATAAATGATCTCTCATATATATTTGATAACAAAAGGAGAGGATTGTCTGAGTTAAACTCGAACCTGAATGGAACCTGTTGTGCTAATAGGTTTAAGATCTAACATATATGCTTATAAATTGAACATGATAAATGAATGAGTAGAAAAAAATATAGAAAGCAAAAAACACAAACTCGGATGTGGAAAAAAAAAGCATTTAAGAGCAACAAACATAAGTCACATAAAAGCCGTAAACCAAGTGAAGTACTTGATTTCTATAACATCCTAAACCAAAAGAAAAAGAAGCAAAATGTGTATTTATCACACTTGTTTGAACATAAATGTTGCAACTTCACTTTGTTACTTCAGTCTTGCCTTCTTCACCTTCAACTGCTGCAGCTGATGATGTTTCTTTCTTTTCTGTCTCAGGCTCAGCCACATCCGCTGTTGCTGTCGCCTCTGGTGCTGCTTCGACTTCGACAGACAAGGGCTCTAGCTCCTTGGTCGACTCGATTGGCTCGATTGGCTTCTTCTCCTCCGTTGATTCTTGATCCACTGGCTCTAGTGGTTCGGTTTTCGCCGGCTCCGATGGCTTGTTGTTATCGGTCTCGGTCTCAGCTAAACTCTTGTTTTCATTCTGCAAAAAAGACACGGGGGTCAATTTACATAGGGCACGACCATTGAAAAAATATACTTCTTTTGTTCCCCGTCAATCCCGTGCTTCGAATCTTGATTATTAATACAAAATCGACAGGAAAACGTACGTGGAATTATTATTATTATTATTATTTCTTTTTGAATCTCTCCCTTCAATTTCACTTTCTCATCAACCAAACGGCACACATGAACCAATCATAATTCAGTGAAACATCCAACATACTGCAAAAACAGGTACGAAATCATATTCAAATGAAACATCCCATCATCCCATTCAAATGAAACATCCTTTAAAAAGTGTATGCAACATGGTCATGGAGTTGCAGAAAGTGGTACCTCATTCAACAAGTTACCAAGAGACTGTGGCATGCTCTCTTCATCATCTACCTTATAAGCCTCATCAACATCCTTGCTCTTAACATCCACACCAACAACATCACCTTCCTCCTTTCGATCACCTTTTTCGGCAACGACATCCACACCCTCCTTTGCTTCCGCCGCAACGGCTTCTTTCTTTGGCTCGGGAGGTGGTGCCGGGATACTGCGGTCGTCAGCCTTTAAAACCTTGGGTTTGGTGGCGCAACCTCCCATATTTCCACAGCTTTAGAAACCGAAGAGAGAGCCTGTTCTCTTTAAAGAAGAGAGAAAGAGGGGAATTATAGGGAAAATTAAGGAAAGCGAGTATCGCTAGGCTGGTTTTAAATATAGGGAATTATAGGTTGGCTTCTGATAAATATAATGGAAATTGTATATAAACGGACAACGGAAACTAATCGACATAGTTAACTATGCTCCAAGGAATTTGCAATAATAATAATAATAATAATGAGAAAAAACAGGTGGCTCAAGCTGTAAAGGTTTTGATCACCCTAAGTTGGTGTAGCGTTGATTAAGAGAATATTTTAATTGTGGAAGGTGGACCAAATGAAGAAGTTGAGGAGCATGAGTTGGCCACGGGTTTTTAATTTCCTTGTAAACGGCTCCTTGGATTGAGCCATTGATGCCTGTAATTTCAATGGAGAAGGGACCATTTGCCATAAATGGAATTGAGTTATAATAGAGTCCGGTGGGTCATACCAACCTTTTCTCCCAAGTCTAAGTTTACATCGGGTTAAACACATGAACAACTACAAAATTTTATGTCAGGACTTAAATAATATATTTTATAAAATTCTAAAAAGAAAAAAATAGATTTTTAATAGAAAATATGAAAAATAATTAAATTAAATAAAAATTTAAATTTTCAATTAATATGATCAGCGTCAGTTTATACCATTTTTTTAATAAATTAGACCAAATTTTTAAATATGTTTTAATCAAATTTTATTTGATTTGTTGACATGTTTATATCTAATGCACATTACTTGAACTCCACTAACATATATTTTAAGATATGAATTATTATGTACAATAAATACATAAAGTAATGGTTTTTTTTTTCAATTATTATTTAATGCAAAGTGCAAACAACATAATAACGAGTTCGATGCTTTTCATGATGCCGGCCAGGACTGCAGTTCGGAGCCGTCAAGAAACAATCAGTCTCAAAGAGGGAGAATTTTGGTAATATATTATAAAGGACATTGATGTCTAACTTAGGCAAGATACAATGAATGGCATAGAATAAAAATCCCTACAAAGTAGGGCATAAGATTCTTCCCAATATTAGCTAACAGATCGTCAAATGTGCTCAGCGCTGAACAATATCATTTACCACAGTTATAACAAAAAAAAAATAAGTCGGTTTAATTAATTCACTTTATTAAGAATTAATATTTTTGAATTACAAGTGTTGGGTACAATAATGAAACATATTATACCTTCAAAAAAATTAAATTTAAATATCGAAAATAACATTGTTAGAAGAAATATTCATGAACATGAACATATTTCATAATATATAAATAACAACTAAGTTGCTATAACACTAAAAGAAATTTACACAAAAAAAAATCAATCTCCAATTTCTCACTCTATACAAGTTTGTGGGAATATTAAGATGACAAATGCTTCTGGATTGGTTATTAACAATTTAACTACCACATCATGAGGTATTATGAGCCGGTTCTAGCTGAATTGCATAGCCTTGCTGCAATTGTTAATCTTGCAGTCGAGGAGGATTGGCGGGACATTGTTATTGAGCTGGACTCCACTATAATTGTCAAACTTTACAATGACGTGGATGGTGATGATTCCACGATCAATGTTCACATGCAGTCAATATGTGAGAAATGTATTGTTTTTTTATAGTTGTCTTATGACATATGTATGTGGGGAAGCAAATACGATAGCTCATAAGTTAGCTCAACGATACCTTAATTGTAATACTTCCTTTTTTTAGATCGATGTTCCACAATTCATTGCTCACGATGTAAAACATGATTGTTTACTGGATGATTAATGGATTTTGGGCATTTTTTCCTCTTATAGGAACCTAACATTGTGTTGGTAGAAGGGATTTTTAATGAAACCCGTATTTTTTTATTAAAAAAAAATACAAATTTGTGGGTCAAGATTTTCTATATTGCATCTAAAAGATTTTGTGAGTACAATTTCACGAATCAATCCAATAAGGTCATGATCAATTCTAACATTGTTACTAAAACAACACATATTTGAGGAGAAAAATACAAGGGGACTCACCTTTAGGCAAAGCAACATCCCATCTCAGCACATGGTCCCATTTGGACACAACCCTTTTAACACCACACAACGATCGAGCAACATTACCCAAACAGCAGCTGAAGATGAACATTTGAAAACAAATGATTTCTTGATTCTGAATCCTCCCTACACAACACACATCGCTCCTTGACAGCCACCTCCATGCGTTGTAACTTATCTTTGGTAGCCAATCGATCTAAAACTATCATCCATGTGATAATAGAATGTCGAGGCACATGCAACGGGAACCATAATAATTTCTGTCAAAGAACCTTATTCACAATCACCCTCATTAAATACCATGTTCTCCTAGTTTTGAAGACCCTCCAATCAACACCAACTACTAAAATCATCTCTTTTAGGACCTGCGGAGTGAGAGAACTATCCTCAAGCTCTAACTACTATAATTTTTAAGTTCAAACTCCCAAACATCTCTATCTTTTATAAAATATGCCCGAACGCAGGCTACCCACAAAGACCTCTTATTGGCAAGAAGTTTTTGCAACAAGTAGATGAAACAGACCATATTCTAACATGTAAGGTTTTTAAGCCCTAGCCCAATCTCAAATTTTAGAGTACAAGCTCAGCTCCAACTCACTTTGACAGCAGTAATAGGGATACCTGCACCATTTTAGAAAAATATCATGCATAATTGTTTTACATTTCTCACCATAACTTTTGAGAGAATAAGATGCATGCTCCAAATATTAATTATACTAAACAAGACAGATTGAATCAATTGGAGCCTCCATGCAAAGCTAATGGCCCAACCTCTTCTTAATGCACTCCAATAAACTTTGACAGACTTTCTCTGAGAGCTTTTGAGTAACCAATGACACCCATAAATATCAGACCAATAAAGTACCAATTTAAACCTCAACTTGTCACTGATGCTTGCCGATTCAGCCCTCAGAATACCGTAAGCAAAACACTTCACATTTGACCGAATTAATCTTCAAACCGGACATACTATAAAATTGTTTCAGTACAATTTGAACACCCAAAACAAAGCCCAGGGAGCCTTTGGTGAAGATGAGAAGATCATCCGTAAAACACAAATGGGTCATCCTAATTTTCTTACACTTCGGATAAAATTAGAACATCCCATTGACCGCGGTCAAGTCCAATAATTTTTACAACACGTTCATGGCTAAAACAAAAAGGTAGTGTGAAAGTGGGTCACCCTGCATCATCCCTCTTGCTCCCTTAAAAAACCAACCAAAATTTCATCAAATGCAATGGAGAAGTGAAGTTATGCAAACCCGAATCCCAACCTTTGAACTTTTCAGGGAGCCCCATGACTTCTAATATCATAACGATAATCTTTCAACTCAAACTATCAAAATATTTTTGGAGGTCTACCTTTATAGCACGTCTAGGTGATAATATCTTCATAGCATACCCTCATGAGCTAGTAATGTATTGTCAACAATACAATCCCTGAATGAAAACCGATTGGTTTGGTGCGGCCATATTTAGAAAGAAAGTCACAAGTCTAGACACCAAAAATCGACTGATAGCTTTATACACCCCTGAACAACAAGATATTGATCGAAACACCTCTTACTATATGTATTTATGGTTTTTAGGACAAGATTCAGAGCAGTAGCATTAAGCACCAAGAATAAGAAGGAATACTCAAAAAAAATATTTGACATCCAAGGTAACATCATCCCCACAATCTTACACACAACCTTGAAAAATCAAGGGGAATAATCATCCGGACCTAGAGCTTTTCCATCCTCTTGCTGGAAGAACACCTTCTTTATTTCCTCTCTGAAAACATCCACAATTAAACTATCACAAACATTAGAAGGCAGAACTAAGTTGATGATATCTTTTAAAAGGTCAATCCCATATCCTTCAACATTTCCATCAGTTGTACCCACGAGATTAGTGAAAATTTTAATAGCTTTAACTGACTTCTCTTCAAAAGAAACAACATGTTGCTCAAGATCATCGTGGAGCACACAAATGGTTTCTCTCTTCTGTTTAATCCAATCGAGGAGTGAAAGAATTTAGTGCATGAATCCTCATCTCGTAACCATTGGATCTTATTTTTTTTACTGTAAAATAATTTCTTCGTTGCCTCAAGATCCATGCATTATTGAAGATCTCCCATTTTAATTGTAGTAATCATAATTTTTAATATATTCTGTTAATTTAATAATAAAATTTAACATTTTAATTTTTTTTATAGAAAGCCGTTAGTTTTATTAAGAATAGAAAATATACAGAATTACAATGAAGAATTACAAACATAATTATAAACTAAAATATAATTAGGAGATTTTCTTATAACCATTGACTCAAAAAACTAGTTACCTAGATCACGCGAGGACCAAAGAAGGAAAAGATAAAAAAATCTAACAAAAAAACTCAAACAGAATAAAAATATGAACAAATCTGACTGCATCGGCAAATAAACCACAAAAGGGGATGAAACTACTGAAAGATCATCGACAAATCACAAATCATAGTCGAGCAACATGAGAAAATTATCCACGAACATAAAATGTGTATCTAAATCAATCCGAGGGTTTAAAGCAGGAAAGATCAACATGATAACAAATAAGAGTCATCTTGATCAATCGTGATGATGTCAAATCTAATCATGAGAAAAAAGAGAAACGAAAACAACGACCAAACGACCGAAAACTACCAAAAAATAGAGAAAAATATGCCACAAAGCTAGAGATAAACATACCACAAAGGTAGAGGTAAACATGTCACAAAGACAAAATTAATCTTATTAAAAAACTAAAAAAGAAACAAAGAGTAAAGACAACCGACAGTCGACAATTAGCATCAAAACTGGTGCCACCGTCGACTAAAGAAAATCAAAGAAGAAGAAGTTGATTTGATCTATAGAAAATGACACAAATTATAAAGAAAAAAATGAAGAAGGATGAGGGAGAGAACGACTAGGATTTTGTAAATTATTAACTTTTCTAAACTAATTTAACATTTTGACTAAATGAACCAAATTATATAATACAACATATGTGATAATGTGTATAATATTATATTTCGATAATTCTATTACCGAATATAATCATATGCAGAGACAAAGACATATACAGAGTGGAAGAGACTAGTGTCCTTCCAAAATTTATGATTTAATGACATTTTAAGTCTTAATAAGTCTAAATATTTTTATTTTAAATAATATATCTTTATGAACAATATTTTAGGTCCCATTAGTTTGAACCTAAATTAAGTTAGACTCTTACTTACTCTAATTTAAAGTTAAATTCTTGACGAGTTTCTATTTTTTTGAATTTAAATAATTTATATCTGTTTGATTGTAACTCGAGATTGGTCTTATATTTTATGAATCAAACACCTTTATTTGCTTTATTTGATCTTGTTACATTGGGCTATGATATGAGCTATATTAATGGTAAGTTAGGAGAAAATGTTTAAACTACGTAATTTGTTCATAACCCAATGCAAAATAATTTGCTTTATTTTATGAATCAAATTATTAACCATTATGAAAAGCCGAAAATATGTAATTAAAAAATGAGGAAGAATGAAAAATAAAAAAATAAATGTTTAATTATAATAAGAAGGATAAAGCAATAAAAATATTTTACTTTGTTCGGGTATATGCACAATAAATCTATTAATCAATTAAGTCTATTACTAATATATTGGATTAGTCCATTAATTATTTGGATCAATCCGTTATTCAATTATTAGTTTGGGCTATAGATATTAATGTGTTGTAGTGGGCCGATGACCCGATTATTGTAATCCGTTTTTGCTGTACAGTTTAGAATCATTTCAGCAGCTGTTTTAGTTCTCCTTACCCTAATCACGAAATCCCAGCCGTTCACTGCTCTCCTCCTGCTCAACGTTCACCGGTCGCCGCTGTTCACCTACTCCGGCCACCGATGCCGCCCCTCTCCCAATAAGAAAAATATCATTTCTTTTCATTTAAAATTTGTTAAAACTAGTTCTTTTTTCCAAAAATGAAAACCCCTCCGCCAGGATTTTATTCACGATCACATTTTCGATCGCGTCACGTTTATCATAATTACGGATATAAAAGATTCTATTACGATCATTGCGGATATCACGATCGTTAATGTTTTTTCGAATGAGTTGAGTTTTTTGATAAAATCCTTTTTAAAAAAATTTAAAATAACGAAATAACGGTTGTCGCGATAGGCCGTGATCTGTTAAATTGCGGGTGCCATCCACTATTATTGGTGCGATCCCGTTTCACACTGTTGCAACCGTCCTTTAACTGCCGCGACACCGCTATTCGACCGTAATTTGAAACCTGTTCCCAGCTTCCTGCGGCAGGTGATTCGGTCTTTTTTTTTTTTTATCTAATTATGCAATTTTTAAGATGCCGAAACATCTTTCTACTCAAGAATTCGTTGATTCCAGCTTTCTTACCCGCAAAACAATCGGCTGCTGCTGCTACAACCCATGTCGGTTCATTTCATTCCACGCCTTTTACCTGTGAAAAACGGAAGAACAATGGGAATTCTGTGAGTCTTACTCTTTCTTTTCTCTTTGGTTCATGTATTATACTCTAAAATGCCATGGGTGAGCTTGAATTTTGATTTCTATTTTCAATTGAATAGCAAGTTCATGGATTTGTTGCACTGGAAAGATTGATGGGATCCCTGGACAGTGCTAATATCAAAATTAATTGTAGTAAAAATATCTGCTTGGTGGGTCTTTTCTCTGTGTGAACAATTATTTATACTTCTTCCCCCTGAGATCAGCATAGAATTGAGCTTTAGATTTTAGTAATGAATTAAACTTTTTGGTTTAGGAATTAGGATAAATCTGTACTTTGCCACGAAAGCTTGACAAATAACATTGTTTCTACAGGATAAAAGAAGCACTCAACAACCAAGGTATGGAGCTTTGCAGGGTTTCTATTTGTGTAATCATTTTCACATGTATCTCTTAACTGTCTTGATCCTACTATATAGGATACATGTATCTTAAGATTGAACTTATTCTAGGTCGGACATTTTAGCTCAGTCTGTTCGAGTTTTATTTTCGTGTTCTAAGAGCAGTGTTCAAATCCTCCTTTCAGTAGACTAAGCGCAAGTCCAAAGTCTTGACAACTGATCTGTACTTGTCTTGTCGGATTTCTAGGTTTATTCTTTGCTTAGACTGGGAAGTTAGCTGTCATCATTTAGTAAAAATAGAAATATAATGCATCTCAGGAACTGATTCAGCACGATTAATTTGAATGTTTTCCGTTGGCCACATGATGCATATTATCTGCTAATAGGTTAAGATACTGTTATTTGTTAATTTCTTCCTAAGTAGCTTTGTACGAACAGTTTGTCTTTACATTCTTACTTGATTTGTTGTTTTCAAAAATAGAACTTCTCAGGCATTTCAAATATTAAATGCAGAGTGAAGAAAGATATGTGGTATGTCAAAAGCATGCCGAAACAAAGAGAGCTTTGAGAGACCTTGTCTTTAGTGGCCGTGTCTCTAATATTTTATTTCAGGTAAACTTTTCTGAACTCTTGTTTGATTTAAAGCCTACACCACCTCATTGAAGGTGTTCAATTACGTCTTCCTCATGCATTGTTTACATTATCGCAGTTGTAATAAGTAAAATGAGCTGAAGCATTTCTTGTATTTCAGCATAAGCGCATGCCTTAGATTTGGTTTTAGTTTCTTCATTATTTGCATTGCCGTGCCTCAAATATTTTATTATGTGCTACATTTCTAAAAAATATCCAAATAGGCTCTCCGACTATAGAAGAAAATTATGATTTTAGTTATGCGACTGAAAGAGTTAGTTTGCTGCCTTTTGGAAGTGGCTAATGACAAGTGTATGGGACCAATACCATTATCCTGCTTTTCATTACATTATATACTGGAGATTGAGCTTATGCATTTCATTAGTACATGAAATTACACTATGAATTTATGCTTGCCTTTGGCTTTTATCTAGGATGAAGGTCCAATATGGAAATTTGATGCGAAAGAAGGCCGGGATTCAGATGGCTCTGTTAAGAAGAATCAGTCGAGGTTTTCTGGACGATGTGCTGGAAAATCTAACCTCAAAAAAAGAAAACGTGAGTTTCATCTTCCTTTTTCTACAATTACTTCCCTCTTCTCTCTCTCTAAATGTATTTTTTTTAAATAGTCTCTTTTACACACTATTTTCACAGCTGAACCAGGTATATTTTGATGACCTAAATATCTGCATGTTTGCATAAAATAACTTTAGAGTTTCCTTGTGCACACTAGTATCTGGTTTTGTTTGTATGATCTTATGTTTTGTTCATTTATCTATTATTTCAAAACAATGAGTAAGTAACTCAGTCTAAGACTATTGACATGATCACTCATTATATCCTTTGGGTAAAATTTAGTAGCACGAAGACTGGAAAGGGATAGGTTCGTGTGAAATTACAACTAGCTGTTTGAACGTACATCTAATATCATTAATGAAATGCAAGTTCATTTTCCTGCTTTCTAACAGTCACATTCCCATCAGTGAAAAGGCTTTTTCTTGTTCAATAGAATGTGTACATCTTCGTGATATAGAAAAAACAATTGAATTCTGTTTTCATAGCTTTCGTATTAAAGAACTGTTATTTTCCGTTCTGATTCACAAATATCATATTTACCTATCATGATTAGATGTAAAAGAATTTAAGTGCAATAACTTAAAATCAGAACTTAGGTTTGTTGATATAATCTTCATGTTGTGTATAATTCAGAGATGTCAACCAATTATTTGAGGTAATAATAGATTAAGACCTAGCTAATTGCATTTCCAAATTAAAAAACCAAATCCACATAACAGATGGGAGCTAGCATTTTACAAGTGCTTGCCCTCGTGTTATTAACAAACGAGATGTCCTTCTTTTACTTGCACAGGAAGGTTTAGAAGACACAGTTTCCCGGAGGACTTTGATAATCCCGAGACAATATTTGAAGCTGCATTTGGGAGCAAGTGGACTACTTGGTCTTTTAGGGAGGATTTTACTTTCCGAAATTCAGACTTTGGATTCGAGTGGAGAGAAAAACGGGACTGGACTATTCAAAGAACAGAAGAGCAGGAGATTCATAGCGAAACTGAGTCTGAGGATGAGTCATATGCTGTAGGATCATGTTCTGATAGAGAGATCCTTGGGCTACCTCTAACTGGCCGCTTAAAGCTCGAAGATGTTAAAAAGGCGTAAGTAGTGTGTTTTCAGTTAAGTTTAGGTGTCAGAGCGCGTGTTTCAAAATATTTGATGAATTTCAGCTTCTCCTTTTCTCTACCCTCTTTTATAATCATGTATTCTAAAATTATTAAAATCATGTTGCAGCTTCCGCTTATCAGCTTTAAAGTGGCATCCTGATAAACATCAAGGCCCTTTGCAGGTTAGTTATATCCTTCTCGAGAACAATGCTTATGCCGTTGATTTAGTCATGCCAATCTACTGCGGCATCGATCTGTCCTGTGATTTCATTCCCTATTCTTTTTTCCAAAAAGTCGCATGATGTCAATATATATTTATGCAGGCAATGGCTAAAGAGAAATTTAAAACATTTGCTGCTGCATACAAATCATTATGTCATGCTTTAGCCTGAGGTGACACTAGTTTTCCTTAAAATTTAAGCTCCAAGTGAAGAATAGCTACAACAATTTGACCATTTTTTATTTTATTTTGTAATCTTCATAAGCAATTCTCCTCCCACCCAAGTTGGCTTTGATGCAAGCTAAAACCAAAATCTTACAGAAATTAGAGGAGAGGTTAAGATTAAGATTGTAGATGGCAGAATTTCGAATCAGGAAAACGGAGAAAAGTCTCCATTCATTCAATCGATACCTCAAACCCTAACCCGGTCTGTGTGTTTTACCCCCCCCCCCATCCTACACGAAGAGGACGCATCAGCATAGCAAATGACTAACACAAAATATTTTTAACTTCTGATATTTTGGATCAAAATAATCTTTCTGTAAATGGAAATCGTTAGTTAACTAATATTGTTAACTCGAGATATTTTGTTTTTACAAGCATATAAGCCAATCAACCCAAGATTAAAATGCCATTTCATTATTTTAAATTGTACTTTGTTATGCAGGCGCAGGAGTGATGTAATTACCACTTTATCACAAAGTTGAAACATGCAATTATACACTGAGCCATGAATTACAAACACAATAAAACCAAACCATTTGCCTCGCCTTCCAAAAGCTAAAAGAAAAGGGGACAATCTTATTCCACTCTCACACAGTTTATTCAAAACAATTGATGATCAAAATATATACATTTATGCCTGTCATTTTACTCGCTGTATCAAAACAAACTATTTTACAGACACCAACACTATGGACCATGATGGCCCACCTCAACAAAATTTAAGCATCCGAAATGGAAATTTCACTACTAATTTGTTTCAAATTTTGGTCAAGTTTAAAACATTACATCTGAGTCTGTATTGAAAACTCCAGTTGAATAAATCGATTCAAATAATTGAATTTAAGCTAGTTTTGTGAGATATAATTTAATTTCATATTGATATATAAATCATAACATTGATAATAAATTATATGATTTCCATACTTATAAGACACAATTGTTATCTATTAAAAAAAAATATAATTATCATAGGAAGTACGAAATTAATAATTGAATCATGTATCTTGACCTGGGAGTGCTTTGTAGGTCGAAAAGAAAGGGAATTACTTGTGGAACCAGAATTATGAAAATGTTAATCGTTATTACAAAATGCCACAAAAAAACCAAGAAATTCTCATCTCTCGTAGTCTCATCGTGATATGGAACACGCTGGTCGGTAAAGGGATGCAAAGCAGGGCTGTAAATGTTAATAAAAGCAACATGATATTATTATCGTGATATTATATCAAAATATTTTTATTTAAATTATTAAATAAAAATTATATTATTTTTCAAACTTATCAAATGATTTCGATGATAAAAAGAAACGTGATTTCTTTAAAGATCTTTAAAAATTACACTCCCCAAAGAACCTTAGATAACCTGAAATGAAGAGAACCCTAGAGCTTAACATTCAAAACACTAGGGGGGAGGGGAAACATATTTGTAATGGTTTCTCATAATAATCACAACTCAGAGGCAGACATGTCACCATTTTTGTGGCATGAATCAAAAGGAAACACATTCACCAGAATTTAACAACTGAATTTACAGAAGATGAATTCAGATAAAATGCATTCACCCCCATAAGATTTAAAAACCAGGCATCCAATATAATTTCCATCAAAAGAGTTCATGACCACAAGCTGACACTAATTTAAACCGTACAACAGCTATTAACATTAATGTTCTCAGGTAAAAAAATGCTTTTAAAATGAAAATAAGGAAAATATAATGACCCCCACAATCATGCTCCAGCTACAAACAACACCCTACTAAGCAACGTGTTTGAAAGATGCATGGAAATGGAGGACCCCAGAATTAATTGTCTGATGGGCTGCCATCTCAGTTGCATTGACACCGGCGGGTATCACAACTGATGAAGGCTTATATAATACATTAATACCAGAGAAGAGTCTCCAATTATCCCTGCCTTCAATGCTTCCCCACATGAACCAGACTTTAATTCACTTGACACAGGACACGAAAAAGCCAACTAAACCGAAAATGTAACCGACCATGAAAGCACTTACAGAGTTTCTTAGAAACACTTCCTGTGGACAATGGATGGACCAGACTCGTCATACTCGCCCTTTGAAATCCACATCTGATGCATCAGGTAAACCAAGATATGTCGGTCTTAGACAACCAACACACAGAAAAGTAAAATAGAAGCCATTTATATGCAAAAATATATTTCACCTGCTGAAAGGTGCTGAGCGATGCCAAGATAGATCCTCCAATCCAGACACTGTACTTTCTCTCTGGTGGTGCAACGACCTTGATCTTCATGCTGCTTGGAGCAAGGGCGGTGATTTCCTTGCTCATACGGTCTGCAATGCCAGGGAACATAGTTGAGCCACCACTGAGCACAATGTTGCCGTACAGATCCTTCCTGATATCCACATCGCACTTCATGATTGAGTTGTATGTAGTTTCATGGATACCAGCAGCTTCCATTCCAATGAGAGACGGCTGAAACAGGACTTCGGGACAACGGAATCTCTCAGCCCCAATAGTAATGACTTGTCCATCAGGTAACTCATAGTTCTTCTCAACAGAAGAGCTGCTCTTGGCAGTCTCCAGTTCTTGCTCGTAGTCCAGAGCAACATATGCAAGCTTCTCTTTCATGTCACGGACAATTTCCCGTTCAGCAGTGGTTGTGAACATGTAACCTCTCTCAGTAAGAATCTTCATCAAAGCATCAGTAAGATCACGACCTGCAAGGTCCAGACGGAGGATGGCATGTGGAAGAGCATATCCTTCGTAAATCGGCACGGTGTGAGAGACACCATCACCAGAATCCAGCACAATACCTGTTCCGATAGGGAGATAACTCAATGGTGGGTTGACTACAAACAATCTATAAAACTATGAAACATTTAAAGGGATTTAACGAACCTGTTGTACGACCACTGGCATACAAAGAGAGAACGGCCTGGATGGCAACGTACATGGCAGGTGCATTGAAGGTCTCAAACATGATTTGGGTCATCTTTTCTCTGTTGGCCTTGGGGTTCAGAGGTGCCTCAGTGAGAAGAACAGGGTGCTCCTCTGGAGCAACACGAAGCTCATTGTAGAATGTATGATGCCAGATCTTTTCCATGTCATCCCAGTTGCTGACAATACCATGCTCAATGGGATATTTCAAAGTAAGGATACCTCTTTTAGATTGCGCCTCATCTCCTACATAGGCATCCTTCTGACCCATCCCAACCATGACACCAGTGTGTCGTGGTCGACCAACAATGCTGGGAAAAACTGCCCTGGGAGCATCATCACCAGCAAAACCAGCCTGAATGATAAACAAACTCAGCTCCACCAAGACAAAGTAAAGCTCTTCATTAAAGAAACAAACAACAATGGAGAGAATAACACAGGTCTACAAATCAACTAACCTTCACCATTCCAGTTCCATTGTCACAAACAAGGGGTTGAATATCCTCGGTATCAGCCATCCTTTAAAATTCTGCAAACAAGATTTGAGAGAGTGAGTTCTAGAAAGAAAAACAATCTCTACAAAGAATCTATGCCATTTCAAATAATTAAGAAAAAAATGGGAAATATATGTCAATCACGTATCTAAAAAAAACCAAAAGAAGAGAAACTTAGGTAATCATTCTTTTCTTCAAGTACATAAAAAATATTATTCAATACCCTAGTTAGCTAAAGAATCTAAAATTGTGCGAAAAGTCGGTGAACCGAATAAACCAATTCAACAAAATCAATTTGACCACATCAGTTATGATTAGTTGATATTTTATTTTGTTGGCTCGGAGATTCGGTAGAATACTTATGAAAGTATTTTTATCCTAAAATTCAATTTGAAATGCAGAAGTATTTCCAAATAATTGATTTTCAACCAAAAATTCAAAATTTAAAAAGTGATTATTAACTCGAACTAAAAATTAAAAAAAAATCGAATAAAACATCGTTTTCCTTCAAACATTCTCGCGTAAGTCAGTTGTTGATTTTACTTTAAAACCAAATAAATCACTTATACCTTATATAACTGTACCTAGACCAAATACAACTTTTATATAACTATACCTAAACTTGATACCCATACACAACCCAACTCATTTTAGTTTAAATCCATTTACAATCTACAAATTTATAAATCCAACCCAAAATTATAAATTTACAATAAATTCAATTAAAAATAAAATTAATTGATTAAAACGCAACTAAAAAATTGAACCACCATGATGTGACACGTATCTATCAATATCATCCCCTTCCCTACCCAAATCAAGGGCAACCCAGACCAACCTATCCCATCAGACGGAATATTTATTTTAGCTATAGATAAAATGAAAAAAATGACCAAACTGAACGAAGGATTATCTCGGTTATGGTATATATGGTCAGACGGGTCGGTCAATTTTGATGTATTAAACGATTCATCCAGTGTTTGTTATATAAAAAGTTTACTGATTGGAACTTACCGATTTGCAAACATTTAAAAAAGATTATAAGTTTTGTAGCCAACCAATTTCACAGTCCAAAACGTAGAAGGCATTCACGGACAGTTATAAGCAAGACACAAAATCAATTATCCAAAGAAAAAAAAACTAGAGCCTCCAAATAACTTCAGAACAAATCTTGAAAAACCAATTAAAATCATAAAAATGAAAGGATTAACCAGAAGAGGCTGGAAGGGAAAATGAATCATCTCATAGATATCTACAAAGAAATCGCAAATGTAATGAAGCAAACCAAGCTAAGTAAAGATCCAGATAGAAAAAGAAGCTGATCGAACAATATCAAACTCTCTGGAAATTAAAAGCACTTTAGATCTCAGCTCCATCAGCGGTAAAACATCGAAATCCACAGATCGGTTGATTTTAAAGTAAAATAGAAGCAAACTAAAAGTTTCACCTGAATAAGAACAGAAGCAAGGAGAAGTACTGGATGAAGAAAGAGAGATGAAGACGATGACCAAAACGAGGACGGAGAAAACGACGTCGTTTGTTTTCTCTCTTTCTCTCGGGTGGCTAATGGCTATGCTGCTGGAGACGGAAATGGAGACTGAATGGAGAGAAAGACGGATACTTATATATGAAAAAAACAATGGACAATTTCAAGGGAAGAATTAATTATAAATATATATTTTTCAAATTAAAATCAAATATGAAGAAACTAAAATAAAAATAAATTGAACTGTTTGTACACATTGTATTGCAATTTTTATTTTTAAATATTATAAATTTTAATATAATAAAAATTTATATTATTTTAGATTTTCATTAATATTCGTACCAACTCTAAATTAAAGGCAATTGGAAATCATTTTGACCGCCTTGAAAAGAGATAGGGTGACCTGGCTGACAGCCTTGACACCCACATATCTCATGCTTTTCACTTTTTCTCCAATTCGGGATTTTAATTATCTTTTACTTAGAAAGTTTTACCGTTTATACCTCGAAATAAAATACGATTTTGATTAAGTTAAAGTAATTATAAAAATAATATATATTTTTAATATTTTAAATATTTTACTAATAAATATTCAATCATTTTGTTACTTTTTAAAAATATTAACGATATTTTTAAACATTGAAATCAGTTGATTCGTGTGAAATAAAACAAGTTTATTGCTGCAATTTGTGTTTTAAAGCATATGTTGTGGTTGAGTTGCTGTAATATATTCGGTTATAAGCATAACAGTTGAATGGTAATTTTTTTAATATGATGTAAATCATAATAATATTTTTTGAAAGCCCATAAATAATTTTATATAGTGTATATTTCAAACCTAAATATTTATACAATATTCAAAAAATATTTATACAACTTTTATTTCTATTTTGAAAGTATAAGAATCGAAATACACATCACACTATAGTGCATACTTATAATATATTATGGTAAAAATAATATTTACTTTTTATAACGCATAATACAGTAAATATAATTTTTATATGCACGATATTGTCCTAAATAAGTAAATTTGATAATGGTATAAAATCTTCTAAATAGTGACCGGATCATGCAGAATGTAAGCAAACATATGAATTGAAATTGGAAAAATTATATATTTTAATTAAAATAATTATTGGAATGTTTAGCTTATGGAATATAAGATTACTAATGATAATTTTATATATTTTTTTAAAATATTTTAATATTTAAAAGATTACTTTGAGCTGTAATATAATATTTTAATAAGGATAAACAACGTGTTTGATCACTTTCATTTAAGTTTTGTACATCTTTTCTCATTGAATTTAAAAATTAAATATTTGGTCACCTTCAATTTTATTTATTTAAGATATGATCACTGAGAGTTCTTGTCTTTAGATTTTTAAGAGATTGTTAATGTGACACAATAAATTTATACAATTAAGATGTGGTCACTGAAAGTTAACTGCACAATGGTCACTAATGTTTGAGTTAATTTTCGTTTTCTCCACTAAAGTTTCAAAAGTAACAAATTGGTCACCACAACATCAAATATGTTTTTGAATATTTAATTTATCCCAAAAAAATTCTAATATTTCCAATTTTCCTGTTTCTTATATATACTTTTTAAATTTTAAAAATAAAACTTAAAAATTAACTTTTTTGGACACGAAAAATTGAAAATTTCAAATGATAAACAAGAAATTAGAAATCTTTTAGAATAAGTTAGATATAAAATCATTATTCAAATACCTATTTGATGTTTTAGTGACTAATTTGTTATTTTTGAAACTTCAATAGGGAAAAAACTTTTTTTTAACTTACTCAAACATTAGTGACCATTTGTTTAGTTTACCCTTTTAATTTTATATATTCATTATTCCACATCAACAATCCGTTAAAGGCTTAACGACAGTTACTTCTCAGTGGCCACATCTTAATTAAATAAAAACGAAAGTGACCAAATCTTAACTAAATAAAAACAAAAGTGATCAAATATTATATTTTTTGAATTTATCGAGAAAAAATGTACAAATCTTAAACGAAAGCGATCAATCATGTAGTTTGCCATTTTAATAAGAGAAAATCGCCTCAGTGACCAAAAATGCCTTATAATATACGATTTTAACCAACTTTTTTTGGATTTGCCAAAATGACCAACAAAATCGCAATGCGAAATAAAAATCGCAACGCGATCCCCAGAATCGCAAATCAGTTTCCAAAATCGCAACGCGATTCTTTAAAATCGCAATGCGATAGTACAAATTCGCATTGCGATTTTCCAGAATCGCAACGCGAATATGAAAATCGCAACGCGAACACATAAATCGCAACGCGTATCCGTAAATCGCAACGTGTATCCGTAAATCGCAACGCGTATCCGTAAATCGCAATGCGTATCCGTATATCGCAACGCGTATCCGTAAATCGCAACGATAATACATAAAATCGCAACGCGTATCCGTAAATCGCAACGCGATATTTAAAGCGCCATTATAATCGCTACGCGTATTTTATTTTCAAATTACAAAAACGAATATTAAGACAAAATCCCGTAATCGCAACTCATAACCTAAAACCTAAAATCACAACTCAGTCCCATCTCCATCTCTCACTCTCTACGGCGAAATCCGTCCCCATCTCCGAAGATTTCCGTCCCCATCTCCGGCGAAATCCCTCACAACCATTCACGGTCAGAAATCCCTCACAATATTCAGAAATGGAAAATCAACCTCCGAGGGTTAGTTTTTTTAATTATTTTTATTTTGAAATTTTTGCATTATTGTAGGTTTTTCATATTGAAACTGATGATAAGTTTACTGGTCATTTCAATAATAGATTAACCATTTCACTTAGATTTCATTTCGCGTTACGATTCTCTCGTTGCGATTTTCATTTCGCGTTGCTATTCTCTCGTTGCGATTTTCAAGTTAGTATTTGTCTTTGTCTTTGTTCTGTCTTTGGTTGAAGTAATGCAATCCATTCAAGTTTCAATTTGCAGAAGAGTCGCAACGAGATAAATGAAAATCGCAACGAGAGAATGACTGTCGCAACGAGATAAATGAAAATCGCAACGAGAGAATCGCAACGCGAAATGAAAATCGCAACGAGAGAATCGCAACGCGAAACCAAAATCGCATTGCGATTTTCATTTCGCGTTGCGATTCTCTCGTTGCGATTTTCATTTCGCGTTGCGATTCTCTCGTTGCGATTTTCATTTATCTCGTTGCGACAGTCATTCTCTCGTTGCGATTTTCATTTCAACCAAAAGACAAAACAGTGTTGCAAATTTTAGTTTCAAGAATAAACTACTACTTTTTATGTTTATTGTTTTTGGTATATCTTCACAGTGTAGTTTTTGGTATATCTAACTTGGTATGTTTATTGTTTTTGTAGAAATTTTTTTCGGCTTCATTGACATTAAGGAATAAAGTTAGCCTAGCCACTACAATTGCTTCGAAGCTTTCACCTGCTCAAAGACAATTGTTTGAGGAAACCTGCTTCGGGCCATGGCTGAGAATACAGCATCCGGGTGGAGATACTAATTTGACCCATTTGTGGCTTCAGACCATGACATCAAATCTACCCGACAGTATACAACGTGGTGAGGAAGAGATATGGTTTCATTTTCCACCAGCGTATACTTGTTTTGGGCGGAAGGAGTTCTGCTTAATCACTGGTCTACGATTCGGACACGATGATGTAGGCCGGTACACTCGTCATATCGCCCGCCCATCATGGTTATCCCGGGTTTTTCCGGATGAGTCAATGGAGAAGCCGAACCTACACGTCGACGACCTGAAGAAATTGTTTAATAAGAAAGCTGGTTTCACTCGGATGGATGACGTCGATGTTGTCCGAGTATGCCTTCTACTACTTGTGTATGCCGGCTTTTTAGGCAGAGAGGCCAGACAACCTATTCCTCGGGAGCTAATAATATTGGTAGAGGACCTGAATGCATGGAATCTGTTTCCGTGGGGTTCGTATATATGGAAAGCTACTTGGACTAAGTTGTCTACTGCCTTTGATGACCGCAAAAGTTAGCGTGGCGATGGGTCGAAATACACTTTGTCAGGCTTTGTTTGGGCCTTTAAGGTAAGAATTTCTATATAATGTTTCTAAAATTATAATTAATTATTTAACAATTACTAATTTTGTTATTATATTGTTTGTAGATTTGGATATTCGAGGCTTTCCCCAGCATGCGTACATATGCAATAAAAACGTCAAATGATATTCCCAGGGCTATTTCCTGGAAGAGGAAAACTCTGTTGGATTGGGAAGACTTAATACCATATGCGACAATAAATAATGTAAGTTAACACAAATACTTTCATATAATATATAAACAAGTTATTAATAGTAGACGTTTAACTTTGTTTGAGTTTTTATATTTTAGGAGGCCAACATTCCATTACAAAGACTGACACCCACGGAGGAAGAGCTTGCCACTGATTGGTGGCAAGCTAGTCAGAGTTTTTTTGATGGCACGGATGATGAGCAGCATTCACTTCCTCCAATTCGAGAGCCATCACCTCACCTAGAGCCATCACCCGATCGACCCGACTATACACCTCTAGAACGAGAGCCATCACCTATCCCGTCACATCATCGAGCCTCTTCTCCACCATCACCTCATGATAGGCGACCGGCAAAGATGCCACGACTCCTATCTCCCTGTTCTCCACCTCCACCTCCACGGGATGAGTCAAGGGAGTTACGTGATGAGGTCAATGCCTTGCGTGAGGAGATCGGTACTCTATGCGATAACGATGGTGCATGGCGTGTGGAGGTGTCAACTTTACGTGGTGAGGTTTCCGCTCTATGTGAGATGATAGTATCGTTGTAGAATGAGGTTCATACTCTACGCAACGAGGTAAGTTTAAGATTTTCCATATTTAACTTAATGATAATTTTACTCGTAATTTCACTTAGATTAGCCATTTCACTTAGATTGCTTAGTAAATTTATTCGGTTGCTGCCAATTCTGCTAAACTGTGTATTCTTTAACACTGTGAAATAGTATTTGTCTTTGTTTTGTCTTTTGGTTGAAAGTAAATTTGTTCGGTTGCTGCCAATTCTGCTAAACTGTGTATTCTTTAACACTGTG